CCTGAAATTTGACACACATGTACAACATTCGATTTCCTACCGGCTAACCATATTTCATGACCATCAGATTGATAGTCACAATGGTACAGCACTTTGAACAAGATGCCAAGATTTTTCAGCAGGTATGGCCTGAATGACATGGATGATCTGCTTTTTGAGGTCTGCAGTTGTCCTGGGGTTATTCTCGTACTCTGTTTTGGTGTATCACCACAGGTTGAAGTTAGGTAGGGACATTTTGGATGATAGGTGCAGGTTTGCCGAAAGTGCAATATTGGCCAATGGAGCATGTTGTTTAAAGTGCTGTAACATTGTGACTATCAATTTGATGGTCATGAAATATGGTAGGCCGGTAGGAAATTGAATGATGTACAAATGTGCATCAGGGAGTAATTACCTAAAATGACAAAGATATGAGGAAAATGGCGACAGGGTTTCCATTTATTTTTACCACCCTGTATGAGGGTTTGATATGGGAGGTTTTGGATATGGGGTATATCCTGAGGAATATATAGACATCCTCGTTTGTCTTAGGATAAATATGTATAGTTGTCTTATTTCGCACTGTCATGCTCCAACTTATTCATCATCATATAAATATTGCTCTGTTGTGTTTTTTCCAGGTGACGTGATAGGGAATGTGTACATGTACCAGCATGCTTCATACAATCCACTCCTGATGCATTCTAGGAAACATCATCCACTGCAACCAGCCCCTCACATGAACAAATCTACGTCACCTAATTCATACCAGCAGAGACAAAATAGAAAAGTCAAAAAAAAGTCATGCATCATCTTCTGCCACACAAATGTTTCTACCTCAGTGAAGATTGTTTTGTTGTTTTTCCATTAAAAAACTTGTATACAGCTGGACCAAAATGTTATTTTTGTGAAATATTTCTTACAAGTTGCTCGCATTAAACTAACCAAAGATCCTGTTTTTATCATACCTAAAAACGGTACGACATTGTCGTCAGCTTGACAGCGGGCTGGCGGCGTCTCACTTTCTTGTCATCACGATTTCAGGAAAACCATTTGATGGATTTACTTCGAATTTTCAAAGTTAAACCGCTTTAGAACTTTTTAAATGTAACATGCCATGACGGTAAGAAGTTCTAGAGCTGCTTAACATTTTGGCGGCCATCTTGCATTCTGGCAGCCATCTTGCAAGTTTTTTTCCCCCGGCCAACTATCAAATTCATACATTCATACTATGTCACATTGTGGTCCTTTCATGTATGCTCCAGATGGGCTCCTAATTCAATTTATTCCAATCAAATATTGTTCAAGTCAAAATAATTTATTCAAAATTGCGAAATTGCTACATCATTTAATCAAGGTCATATGGATTTTGTTATCATATTTACATTTTAAGGTAGTTCCATATCATGAGCATTTTCATGATTACAATAATCATTTATTAATAAAATGTGTAATATTTTCAAAACCTTGTGTGAATATTAACAGTACCATATAAACACATTATTGTATGAAACATATTTCAAAATCAACCCGATATATATTAGATTCTTTCGAAAGTGTTAAAATTAATTGTAAAAGCCTTTATAAGAATGCATATACGATTAAATGTGTAACATATGCACAAAGGTCTCTTTGCCATAAATAATAACTACAAATGGGTTAATTTATGTGTAATATGTCTTCATGGAGGTCATCCTAATCCATCTGTCATCCCTGTTGGGTAAGAAATAACTGTCAAACATAGACACAAACAATAAAAAAAACTATAAATAACAGTTTCTCTCCAGGCTTAATTAAGAGAAATACATTAATGAAACCGCCCTTGCTTAGATGATACAAACTCTCCTGGACTGCCACTTTAACCCAATCCCAATGAGTAAAACATTTCCTTTCAAACCTTCTTTCAACATGGGGGAAATGAAAAATCTACACAGGGCCAAATTTAGACTGTATGGTGTGTTTGGTAGCTGTTCAAGTTTATTGATAGCGAGAATATCTTGCACAACCGTGGAGCGTTGGGACAACCGTGGAGCGTTGGGACTGTGTGTTGTCCATGTGCAGGATACGGCCGGTGAGATGTTCTTGACTGTTGCTGTTTACACAAGGCAACTCTCAAATGTTTTTGCAGAACCTGGTGTTACTTTCCATTGTCTTATTTAGGATCACAATTTAGAACACAATTAACTGGTTGCTTGGTAACAAAGAAAGAAAACTAACATGGTTTACCATTCACAATTCAAAGAAAGATTGTGGTCAAGACTAGCAAAACACAAGTCAAATAGTGGCAACACTTAAGGCTGAAAGTTGCCATGTTTGAATACCGTTCCGGTCCCTATATATAACTATTTTAGAAACAAACATAAAATAAATGATTTCTCCATGAAGTTAATAGACAAAGGAGTTAGGTTGTTGGTCTTTATTGGAAAGTGTTAAGTAATTTCATCAAAAATCAACAAAATTAGAGCAGGGCGTCCAAGACTTTTGGATCAGCCCTCGTATATAAACAACAAGAAAGTGATAACTTCAGTTATCTGGGATTTTTGAATTCAAGAGTTTAATGTTTGATTCATAATTGAAATCAATTTCTGGCAATCTACTTACGAATGAATCCGGGAAATCTTAGTTGATTTGTAAATTTTCTCATCATGTTTGTGCGATGTACAAAATGCAGAATTATAATATGTATAAATCTTGCTACTCTACCTCAAAACTAAGTAGCCAAGGACATATTTGATAAGTCTTGCTAGAATTATAATTTTATTTCCAAATGTAAGATACAGTAGAAGGAATGATCCATGTGGTTGTTTCTGTTCTTCAGTCACATTTTCAACGCCGTCTACTGAAATATTAGCCGTTTGCTATTAATTAACGCAACTTCCTGTTGGACGATTTCAATATTTCATTCGTTAAACTTTTACATACTTGCACATATACAGATATACTAAGATATAGACTCAAATAGTTAATTCAACATGAACGACCAAATCAGCAAGGATGAAGTTTTTAATAATATCTTACTGGACAACATACGCCATACTCCTGACCATCGATGTATTTACACGATGTATTTTCCGGACACTGCTGTCTCCGATCTGCGTCACACCATATTATAGCGCCAGACGGGTTCCTTGAGGGCCTATTACATGGCAAGCCTGTAGATTCCAACGTTCATGTTAATGGAATACTAATCAAAGTCATATGAACACAAATATTTTAAGTATAAGTAGTAAGTATAAGTAAGCAAGTAAGATGCGTAAAGGGCGTACATGCAGAAAATTCATATTTTGGAAAATGCATTTTCCCACTTCTAAAGAAATTTCTGGTGAACTTTAATTGTATTTTTCAAATACATGTACAAATGTATGATAACATGAATCCTTACTATATTGAGACGTGGGCAGCTCACATCGGGCTCCAGTGAAACCTCTTTGACATTTGCAATCCACCCTCACTCCAATCTCATCACGCACACACTCTCCACGATTTTTACATAGACATCTGAATGAAAGCAATGTGATACGATTATGATAATTGACCAAGAGTCGCAATAATAAGCGGATAAATAAGGCCATTCAGTTAAATACATGTTTAACGGCACCTCCCTTTCTATGACTTAGGCAGACCATCGTGGGGTTTGGAGGGAAAATGGAGATGATGTTTCTATTAGTTTGGGCTATACGGATCAAAAATCATATAAATGATAGAACAGTTAATATACAATTCCTGTTTAGCTCTACATCAACAATGCCTCGAAATTATAAATATTTCCTGGATTAAACGGTGGTAATAATACAAATAACGTCATTTCTGCGGGCAAATAAGTGAAGTATTGGACCTTGGGTCTTCATATGTGGCTATTGTCAAAAATCGATAATATTCTTTCCAATTTCCAAAGACCTCAGTCGTATCATCGCTTTTCAATTTATGTAATGGATAAACAATGAGTCATTGGGATTAGGAAAAATAATGTCCAAGGGGCTTGCCCCGAGACCATTATTTTTCCAAAGGCCCAAGGCGAAGTGTCTATTTGAAAGCCCATGATCTAATTTAAACCACAAAAAAATAATGCGATCATCTTTGTTATTGCTGGGAATTCTTAAAAATAAAATACAATTCATTCTATTGTGTTGCTACCCAAGTTTGGTTTAAGGTGAAATAAAAATTGGCGGCCCATATATATGCACCCGTTGGCGTAGCCAGTCAGGGGATCTCCTCGTAGAATGGCATTAATTGCCATTTTCTACTTTTTTATTTTTCTCGCCGTTTGAGATCCTATGGGTTCGTTTTTGAGCCGATCGTAACTTACGACCAAATGTTAAGGTTGAACGGGTCAGCGGTTCCAAAAACGGACCCCTGGCTACGCCCATATGAAGTACGATCATAGCGATGTGGTTTTAGGAAACAATCAACATTGAATTGATATATTAAATGATTACGGATTAAATGGTAACCTTTCACCAAATGGTCTAGGCAAGAATGACATGGGCTCAGCACTTGTACGACATGGAAGCACGCGGAATCGTATACTTCTCCTGGGTGTCGTTGCCACGACAACTGTTTCTTCTACATCAGCCTAGAATGATGTTTGCAAAGCGAACAAAAATCATAAAAATCGTAATAAGTCTGAAAATGATATCCAGGGAAATTTTACTAATATACGAATATTATTACTATTTTTACTATTACTATTTATCTGACAGACGTCTTGAACAATTGTCACAATTAAGAACAAAAACACTTAATATATTTATTTCTCGGTTCAAAAATTTTGTTAGAATATTTTGACTAGCCTAAATTGTCGAAAAATAGTTTTTCTTCTGATTTGCCGTCACAATTACTATTTGAATCAGTTCGACTTCACTTCTTCAAAGAGAGCTTCCTCTTCAGTTTATTACTAGACTCTGCGCGCAGGGTAAACCCCAGTCTACGAAAATTACACCACCGAACACACAAATACGTTTCCTTCTTAAGTTTATTTTTAGCATTGATTATGATGTTCTACGAAGCGTTTTTACCCAAAATTGTATTATTGACAAAACTTACTTTTATTTGACATTTGTCGGCATTACCCCGTCCCTGTGCATATGTTGCTTCCATTTTGACGTAATACTCTCCATCCTCGCTTACACCCGAGCTTGGAATGGATCCGGGCGGAATTTTGCATTTCTCGTTGGAACCAGTTTCAAATTCAAATTGTACACTATCAGGAGCGATTAACTCTGCAGACAACTCGCAGTCAAATATTATTGTTTCTCCATCACATGTGAAAATGGCTAAAAAAGAATGGTAATGTTAAAACGTTTTTAATGTAAAAACGTTTGTAGATGCTTATAAAATTTAGTTCATGAATCATGCCAGATTGTAACTACTTTACTACCACGTGCACACCTCTTGAAAATACCCAATATGAGACTGTACAGTATAAGACTCACAAACACTTGGTAGGTCTAAAATTCAAATTAACGGTCGTAGTTGGGAACCCGTGACATAGGTTATTCAATGATTCGAGTCGAACGCCTCGTGAAATATAGACTTTCTCGGGCAAAATATTTTCTGTATTTCACGAGAAATCATTGAATTACGTTTTTATTCCATGGTCGACTAATATGTCATTGTAATGACACCAGAGAGACAATAAAAGATATATACTTTAAATCAAGAAAAACTCCAAAATCTCTAAATAGTTATATTTGATCTGAAATTGGCTTTGAATGTACTCCTTGTATATTATGAGGTTATATAATGGTTGATTCCGTATATCGTGTTTATACTCAAGTGAGTATATGATATATTCACGAGTGACTGAAGGGAACGAGTGAATATTTCATATACACACGAGAGTATATAGAGATTATCCTATACGAGGTTCAAGATATTGGGATTATCCCGAGGCCAATATAATATATCTGCCCGAGGGCCGTAGGCCCCGAGGGTAGATGTAATATATTGGCCAAGGGATAATCCCAATATCCTGAACCGACTATAGGATGATCTGTTTATCCCATACTTATCACATTGTTCAATTGGCCAAAGTTCGGAAACTTTGCCATCCGTGGAATTATTTTAAAATATTTATGTCCAGTTTTGTATTCTTGTCCGTAGCCGGGTTTTCCTGTTCAAATCTTTGATAATTAACGGGGCATACTGCTTCTTCCCTTCGTTAATGCATCAAACAGATCGCGATTGTCTGCGTTTTACTCCATTGTCGTTTACAGTATGCGAACGTTACAAAAAGAACCAATACGGGAACAGCGATTATATAACGTAGCGGGCAGATATACTATATCTGCCCGCTCGGAGCGGGACGTAAAGCTATATCTGCCCGCTGATGAAAATATAAGTTTTTACAAACCGGCTTTATGTACCCGTAACACGTCCAAGTATGGGATAAAACGATATACAGTATCAACCATTATATGATCTTATTATCCCACCCTAATCTTTAATCAATAAAAGGTTAATATAAATTCAGCAGTTGTATATCAAGTCGAAGAGTTGTATACGCTGCCCAGGACGCTATCCAGGAGTTGTATATCGTTCTCAAGAGTTGTATACGATGAGTGTTGGTTTTATATTGCAGTTATACAAAGCTATTATACAATCATTTAAAGCATTGGGATAATACATTATATATGCTTTTATATACTAGTAATACGGTTATATTAGATTATGTATCCTTTTATATTATAACTATGGAGCCTATAAAAAATCACGAAACTAAATATTTTTTATAAATTATAGCTTTAATTTCTTACCAAATGGACATGTGTTGTTAATAAGACATGCAGTAATCAACTGTAAATAAAGTAGTATTTGAATAATATAAAACAACAATTCAGGGACTCGGCACTAACTCTGACCCATTAATGTGCCTCATTAAAAAACTAACGGCCTTTTACTTTCGCCATCAAACAGCTTGGACAAGAACTTATTTTTCCACAAAACCTAAACCACCTAACTATACATGTATACGCTGTCATTTTTCATGTGTAAATTCTTTACAATAATCGCTTAAAATAAGTCTATAAATGGCGCAGGTTATTAATAGGTACTTTTATTATCCCACCGAACGAAGTTCGAGGGGATATAGACAAGATATCCATGTGTCGGGCGATAACTCAAATACCGGTAGACGGATCTGATTCAAATTTTATAGGCTTCTGCCTTGTGGGTGCAGGACCTCTGCTCGAGAAAGAATTTTCAATATAGCGTGAAAGTGTAATCTTTGATATCTCAAATGTTAGTTTTCGGATTTGTTGCTGATGTCTAGGGACAAAGGAACTTTGTCAGAGAAGAAGAGATTTTTCAGATGGCCACGGAATTCAAAATGGTCGCCAATTTTATGTAAAAACGTAATCTTTGATTACTCAAATACCAGTGAATGGATTTGGTTCAAATTTTATTATGCTGATCCCAACGACACAATAAGCTCTGTTCGAGAAAGAATCTTCAAGATGGCAGCTGACTTTCAAAATGACCGCCATTTTCGTAAAAGAACATAATCTTTCATAACTCAAGTCCCAGCTGACGAATATGGTATGCTGATGCCTTGAGGCAAAGGAGCTCTGCTCATGAAGACATTTTCAAGATGGCTACCAAATTTTAAAATGACTGCTATTTTTCGTAAAAACGTAACTTTTGATTACTCATATGCCAATGGACGGATTTGGTTCAGATTTTAAATGCTGGCGCCCATGGTCAAAGGAGCACTCTGCTTGAGAAGATATTTCCAAGATGACAGCTGAGTTTCAAAATAACCGCATTCACGCTTTCTACACTGTAAACGAAGTCAACATTTCACCCGGGTTATATTCGCGAAGAATACCTCTGGTAATACGTGTAATATGTGACGTCATAACGGCGGGTCGTAGTAATGGTGGACCATAATGAATATTCGAAACATTTTGGTGAGTTTTCATGTTCGAATCATAATATAGACCTCAGAGCAAGGGTAATATCGTCGAATACACCCCTTAGGGCTAGGCACTCGGTCGTTCTGGGTTCGAAAGCTTTTGTGTCTAGCCCTAAGGGGTGTATTCGACAATATTACCCCTGCTCTTCGGTCTATATTTCTTAAATAAATGTTTATATAAATTGAAATAATACTAGTGTGATCCGTTTTTGAAAACTAGGAGTAGGGTTGTTGCAAATTCAACGACTTCGACAACCGAGTCCCGACACCGACTTGGTTACTGTTAATCGATACAGTAATTCAATGTTTTCAAAATTTATTTTGAAGTACTGTCAATTCTGGAATGCGCCACACGATACAGTATTAACACTACCGAGAACCATCACAGAATTGATAGTAATTTGATAAAAGCTATATTTCGGAACAATCTAAACATAACTTACAAGGGAATAGTTACATTCTTTAAAAATTGGAAAAATGCAGGTATCAATTTGGTAAATGATGTACTGGACAATCGATAGAAACTAAAGAATATAAATATCTTCAAACAAATGATGCCTAACAATGCAGGTATCACGGTTCGTTTCGGTAACTAGCGCAATCGAGTGGATCACCAGTGTAATAATTAGATATATTTATATACTTGATATTAATGTAGAATGATTCATGCTAAAGTTGTCAGTTTATGCTCAAAATAAATTTTGAAAATATAAAATCTTAGTATCGATTTACAATAATCAAGTCGTGTCGGGACTCGGTTGTCGAAGTAGGTGAATTTGCAACAAGCCTAGTACCTGGCATCCCATCACAAGCAGCAAAACGCATTTATATGGCAGATCCATCTTCCCAAGAAATCTAAATAAAATTACTGCAGTCAAAGATTCACAAACTTGAAAGTAAAAATTATTCATTGAAATTGATCTTCAAAGAAATATTTTGGGATTTCTATTAATCAATTGTAAAAAATTTTTAAAATAATTTGTTTAGTAAATCTTACCTTCTCCGCAATAAGTTCAGATACGTTTACGACTTATTGGCTAAACAATGTAGTGGATGGTTTTATTGTGGATCTTAATGGCACTTTCGATAATAGGGGTCATAAATCACGAAACGGCAACAACACGCCTGGTAATCGGACAAAATGAATGGATGGGTGAGTCGACGATCTCTGCAAGAATACATAACAAATTATCTCAAAATATTAAAATTGAATGGAGGGGAGTGAACGGGGGAGGGGAGGGGGTTAATGTGTTTATATTATGTTTAATGTTGATATCAATTCAGTATGTTTGATCATTTTTTATAAATTAGGGTAGGTAGTTATTTACAGATGTACATGATGTAGTTGTTTTTATAAGACAATTTAATTGTTTATAGAATCGATTTCGCACCCAAATGTAATTTAAATGCAATTTAATTTGTAATTTAGGAAGTTTGTATTTTTAAAAGACAAAACATCAGAAAATTTAAAACACCGTGATACAATAGGCAACATAGTTCTTACTCCAACACAATCAATCCAATGTTATTTATAAAGCCTCACACCATAAACACGTTTTAATGGATATATAAGAGACAATTTACGATAATTGATATTTGTACTAAAGACTGCGACATATACAGGGTGTCCGGAAAGTAAAGATACAAATGCTCTTGTTTTTAGAGATTTGGGTCTTTAGTAATGAAACTGCTACAGATTGTAGAGCAAGATTATTACAATGTATCTACCAATTTTCATCACATATAGTCTTAACGTGATCAAGTTACGGTTGTTATGGTTACGGCTGTGAGGGGTATGCGGAGCAGTTCCAGAACATCGCTTAAATGTCAAAAATTGCTAAAATACAATCATCTGAAACAGCGTTTTTTGTCGTATTTTCTATCAATGTTTTGCTAATTTCTGTTTGTTGTTTGTATTATTACTGCCATAGTTTTTCTTTTATATAATGATGTCATTGTTACATATCAGAACTATTTTTTCACTAACCAGTATAATCAAAGAAATATACAAGTGTTTAGAAAAAACAGCCTCTGGATTTAGTTGGAAAGTCAAATTTGCATCTCCATAATACACCCATTCTCAAAGCAAAGAAAACAATTCTTACAATGGATTGTCTTGACATTAAACCTTTCTATCCAATGCCCCATATTCACCTGATAGAGACTTTTTTGACTTCTACCTTATGACCATCGGAAAGCAATATTTGTAAGAAGTTCGACATACAAAATGAGTCTCAGCTGGAAGTCAATGCTATAAGCAATTTGAGAGACGGACAGCAATGATTTTGTCAAGTCTTTGAATCGGCGGTCAAGATGCACCAAAAATGTTTAGATAATGG